CCCCAAAACCCCAAAACCCCACTAAGTTGGAATAACAAAATTATTATAGAAATTATTATTGATAATAACTTTCTCTGAATTCATTAAAACTATTGTTAACCAAAGAGATTATTGATTTCTGACTCACACTGGTCGACTAGAAACTTTTCGACCAGATCCTTTTCCCATACTATCTATTTGCGTCTCTTGCCCTCTATCTGTTTTTCTCTAATATCGAGACTTTTTCTCCAATCTTCGAAGTATATGTTTAATTCTTAATAATCATCATTGCAGCTTGAAGATAGTTCATCTTTTGTGTATGCAATAAACAAATTTCTGGTATCTGTTTTGTCAAGCATCGTTTCAAGGATTTATTTGAATTTACGTTTCAAGAACAAATATCCTCTAATATGAGTTGGACTCACAACATTTGGTCTTATCAATACAAAGTATTGCTCGTCTTGCATTATGTATAGTTAATCTAATCTTGATTTTCCAGGAGTTCTTTGATAGCAAATTTAATACACTCTGTCTTAAGGAAGTGGAATGATTTATGCTCCTTCTTTTAAAGTTGATATAAATCCATAATCAATTTTTGTTATCATATCATAGTTAAGAGAGTCGATAGCAAGATCAGGAGTAAATTTATAAAGTAAAAATCTCTTCAAAATGAAATCTTAGATCAATAGATTTTGATTAATAGTTTCATCATCAATGCAAGGCATATGAAGTTGCTACGGTATTTTCTATTATAATTCTTCAGTTAAAAATGGGCACATTAGCAAAGGCTAGGCCAAGAGTCTATTAAACTCCATATTACTGTCTATAGGTTAAAATCTTTATATCTCTCTTTAGAAAGTCTCAATAAAGTAGTAATAAGGATCATTTGTACCATTATCAGGATCAATTTGATAGATTATTCTTTTGATTTGATAAATTGAATTTCTATAAGCTTATAGCAAAGACTTATAAGAGTTTTGAGGTAAGTTCAGATGAGGTGGCTACATATCTATGAGCAATTTTGAGTACAATCTGAGAGTAAAATTTCTAAATGGAGGATCAGTGTCAATTTTCTAACAAGGTTATATATTAGAAATAAAATACATCCAAAATTAAGCCAATCAAATGGTTTGTATTAGTGCTCGACACTTTTTCTTCCTCTTCTGAATCTTAATTAGATTGTTTTTTGAATTTATAGGGGCAGATTTCTGGAACTTAATTAATGATTTCCGGATTAAGTTCCTTATTATATTATGCAGACATGATTAAACCACCTACTAGTAAGAGCAAATTATCATCCTTTGACTAATAAATTATTAATAAGCATGAAATTTACCCTTAAGAAAGATAGTAGGATATCTTTATTTTAACTTTTGTTCATTTCATTAAATGTTCCTTCTCTCTAAAATATTTGTTAAGTTGAAGTTAATATACGATTGATTGCAGAATGCATTCATACTCATCAACCACTGAATTTATCTTTTGCATCTCACCTTTACCAGTGAGTCCAACTAAAATCCCTAAACCAAAACTCATTCTTTAATGTTCCTCCATAATTCTAACCATGTCTTTCTCACTTATCCTTTTGAAAAAAAGCTCGTGTAACTTATCTCTTATTTCTTCATTTTTCAAATTTTGATTATTGCTAACTTCTATTAGAGTATTTATTTGGATTTATGCTGTACCTTCAATAACTTAACTAATCTCATTTTAATTATTCTAAGATTCTATTTCATTCTTTAACTCCTCTAATTATTAAACTTCTACAAATGGTTCTTCATCTTACACTTACACTTAGCTGTCATTATTATATTCTGTATTTTATTCTGTACTTAAAGTTTACTTTACTGCTGGCCCAGTAATTATTAAATTTCCAATTTTCATTTCATACTCCTCCTTAATTTCATTCATGAATTCTAAGTTCTAACTTCCATATAATAAAAACACATCAAGATTGTTTAAATTATAGTATTCTTCAAGATATTAAGACAGCGAATAGTATTTCAAGTGAGTATGGGTAAATTTCAAAGCATATGAAGAAGGATTTTTAGGTATTTTCTCAATGTATTATTAGATTTTAGCAGGAAGTTTAGGTAAGAAAAGAGCTGAAAACAATATATTAACGAAAGTCTATTCCCTAATGATTCTGAATGTTTGTGTTAGTACATATAAGCAAGTATTCAAAGAAAGTTATGGCTTATGCTTCAATGTGAATAATGATTATACAACTGTTGGTAGGTAAGCATAATGAAGAAGCGAGTTCGTCAAGGCTCTATTAATATTTTCATCACCAGATGCAAATATATCCTGAATATAAAATAATGTTTCGTTTGAGTCTTCAGCATCGCTCATCATAAGGTCAATTTATTTAGGGCTATAATAGAATTAAACTCAAATTAATACTCCTATGTTAAAGAAACTATATGCTTGTCAATCTAAACCCAAAAGTCTCTTAGATAGCAAGCTAAATTCGCAAAGTATGAGCAGTAAGGTAATCCAAGAAACAAGTCTCTCATTTTTGCATTTTTGACTAGAAAATATTTAAAGCTACTGAAATTACTATTGTAGATTGTTAAAGTGATTGTCCTAACACTAGTTCTCACCATTGGCTCTTTATGATTGTAAAACTTAATAGCCTAATGATAAAGTGGAAAAGTCTTGAACTTATCATTAAAGAAGAAATTAACAGTTTCCTCGTTAAGTTTTAGAGTTAAACTTTTTAGAAAAGAAACATAGTAATCAACTAGCTCGTCATCATTATTAAAGTCGAAATCATGTGTAATAAGTTCATTTAGAAAGGAATGAGCAAACATGTAAACTATTATGCTATTTGATTCAGAAATTAATTACAAATTTTGATCTTGTCTTCTATGTTTTGAAAAAGAATGCTCATTGTTTATATCAATTAAATATTGACATAACGATTGTTTTCTCTAATAAATTTCGTGAATGATTCCATAAGATTAATCTCTATGAATAGCCTACAGTTATTATTTGTAAAACGTTTAGTAATGGTAAATGTTTGATCAAATTCTGATGAACTATGCTTACTCGAAATAATTTTTTCCAAATTTCTCGGAATAGACTAGAAACTCTGATAAGTTCCTAATTTTTTCTACCACTCCGCTTTAATTGTATTCATTAACTTCTACAGTCTTTACCAAATCACTCATAATCTTACTAATACATATTAAGATATTATATAATGGTGAATATTGCTTAAATTGAGAGTAAATTTAGCTTACTTGAGTTTATTGACGGCGTATTTAGCCTATAACTTCATATTATCCATTTATAAATTTGTCTCTTGAATTAAAATGCAATTAATGCTTATAACAAATTAAACTTATTCATAATAGAGGGGTTTTGGGGTTTTGGGG